CTAGAAGGCTGCCCTCCCAGGGGGCAGAAAATGAGTCACAGCAGAAGTGAGAGAAAGACTGACTTGTGTGGCAGAGCCGGGCCCCAGGGCCTGGACTGGAGCCATGGTCTGTTTACAGAGTGTCAGGACAGAGGAGTGCGGCTCAGGTGGAGGCCAGCGTCTAATGCCAGTGTCCTCCCTGCCTGCCACGGGGGTGGCAGCAGAGCACCAAGGGCAAGCGCTAGAGTTTTACCATCAGAAAAACATGGCTATGTGGCTTCAGAAGCAATAACTTCTCTCTGAGCCTCGATTTCCTCATCTGTAAAATGTAGGTAATGATGTTTGCCTTGGTAGGGTTGGTGTAAGAATCAAATGAATCAAATGAAAATATCTGTAAAGCACTTAGCACAATGCCTCACACATTAAAAAAAAAAAAAAGGAGATGTTTTACTCTTATTTCTCTTAAGGGCTTAATATGTTGGAGGACGTGAGACTACTAGAGGCCTCAGACCAGGAGGCAGATTCAGGGGGCAGGGTGAATGGTGTTGAGGGTGAGGAGGGGCAGGACAGGCAGAGCCACAGGCTGCTTTTCTGGATAAAAGGGCAGCATCGTGGTGGTGGGATTCTCAAGCATCTTGAAGGCTTTGTGACACCCCATGAAAAGCACGTGGTCCGGGACCGCTTCCTACTTCTCTCCGCCCCTCCCACCCCTGAGCCAGGGAGGGCATCCCTGTTTTCTGCCTTGAGATGTAGAGGAGGCATTGATAAAGCTCACCATTCAGAGGCCAGATACTCTTGCCCACTCTCAGTGGGGTGGACTCTGCCTCCACTTCCAAGCTTGCTCATATCTGGGCTGTCCCCCTGCCACCATCTGCTCGGGACATGGTGTCCTGCAGACCCTCCCATAGAAGGGCCTGGCAAAGGGCCTGGGGACTCCATTCCCGAGTTCTCAAGACACCTGAGGCTGCCAGGCAGTGCTGACGTGCTGGGAGCCATGCCAACCTGCTGCGTGAGCTGGCCTGGGTGGCAGTCCCTGGGGCCTCATTAGCTTTACCACACAGTGCCTCCCAGTTCCCCAAGACGCATGCCTCCTGCCTTGTCTGCAGACAAGCCCTGTCTCCTGTGCCCTAAGAAAGGCTCTGGGTGTGACATCTCCTCCCTTGAGACCCCCAACTTGACCAAGACATCCCTTCACTTCCCTGTTTCTCTGAGGAGCCCCAGAGGCAGAAGGAGTCTCCTTCCCATCAGCCTTTGGCTGGCTTGTGTGAACTCTAGGCCACTCTAGGATTGTTCTGGGACTGGGTGGTCCAGCAGGCTTTGAGGTGAGCCCACGTTCTCACCTGATCCTTTTCTGTGAACAGGCCTGGGACAGCCCCAGTGTGCAAGCTCCTTGGCCAGGCATTCAAAGTCTCTACCCCATAAGTCCCCATGTTCTCTGAGATATCCTGGATTCCCTGCATGGAGCCTCTGGCCCTCTGACAATCTAGTCTTAATTTACTAAATGTACCAATGCAGTCTGGTTGCCATGCTGTTGCTTAAGCCACTCCAGTCTCCATCCTTTGAGGTGCAGCCCCAATGTGGACTGAGGGCTTGGTGTAGCAGGCTCACGAACCTTCCCTCGTCTCCTCCTTTGAACCCCAGTCTTTCACATGCTGCTTTATGCACTCATGACCCTCCCCTGCAGAGGTCTCCTCCCCAGCAGCCCCAGTAGAGAGCTGGGCTCACAGTAGGTGCTGAAGGAGACTCTGGTGAGAGCAGAATTGTCCAGGATGACCCTTTCATTGCCCAGATAGGAGGGTCAGAATCACTTACACCATCAAACCTCTTCTTTCCAGTTACTTGCCACATTCCTTAAAGAGTATAGAACAACCAGGAGCTGAGTGGGTTGAGAGGAAGGGAGTCTGACAGGCAGAGGGATTAAGAGCACAAGCCTCAACCTGAATTCTGGGTTTGAATCCCAGCTCCCACCACTAACTAGCTGAGTGACCTTGGGCAAATTACTTAACCTCTCTGGTAGTAATCATACCCTGTAGATTTGAGAAATGAATTCAGTACCATACATCAAGCACATAGAACAATGCCCAGCCCTTATTAGGCACTCTGTAATTAATAATTCAATTAGTAAGCATTAATAACAACGTTAATAAGAGTAGCAACATTATTATTAGTGTGAGCCACTGTGTCTCCCACTTCCCCTTCTCTTCAGGGCCAAGGTCTGAGTCTCTCCAGCCATGGCCCAGCCCCACCCTTCCCTCCTTATGCAGGCACCAGAACCTACACCCACTTCCTCCCTTCCTAAGACCTAAACACCTCAGAAGGGCCCTTCTGGTCTCACACTTGTGAGAACAGTTCCTGTTGAGTGGGGAGAGGCCATGGGCTTGTATTCTTTCAACAGAGATTTCCCACCCTGTGTGGCTGAGGGTTCTCTGGGAAGGGGCCTGGGGGCCTGGGATATACTCACTAGGATGCCCAGTACCAGCCTGGGTTAGCCTGGATATAGTCCTTAACAGGGTCACTGCAGAGAAGGGAGGGAGAAAGAACAAAAATTTACCCTCTGTTTCTATTTCTGGTTCAACATCTGCACCTCCCCCCACCCCAGTTCATAGGACTTGAGAGAAAGAAAGAAGGGGTGCACCCCTGGGGGCTTAGGAAGCCCAGCCACAGTCCCAGGCTACACCTCAAAATGCTGGGTGTGGGGCTGGAGGATCTGAGAGAGGCCCAGAGGCAGCAGGTCCACCCTACACTGGTTGCAGGACTCCTATGTGTGCACCGTCTAAGGTTCTCCCCAGGCACGAGGAGGCCCACTGCCCCACACAAATCTCTTCAGGCAAATGTTCCAAGAGAAGTCTGGTTCTGGGACCTCCACCCCAGGCCTGGCCACAGCCAGCCCCCGAAGGTGCTGGTCTACAATGCCAACTCACCAGAAGGTAAAGAGAGCCACAACAGCCAAAGTCACTAGCAGCTGGATCAGCAGGATAGTATACACCTGGGGGTGGGAGGGAGTTCCTTGTTTGAGGTCAGGGAAGATCAGGTCCCCAGCGAAGCTCAGGGAGGCCCCAGCTTCCCTATGACTCAATCTCCTCTCCAGACCCGCATCCTATGCCCTCCACCCTCCTTCCTGAGGGTCAGTGGAACAGATCCAGGACAAAGTAAAAGGGGAGTAAAGGCGGCCCAGAGCCCACACCCATAGGTGAAGGGGCCCCCCAGATCTGGAGGGGAGATGGTGTATTTAGGAGTTGCAGGGGCGGTGGTGGAACCTAAGGAGGTACTTCCCCGCAGGTGCCGTCAGCTGGAATCACGAGAGAAGGCGAAACTGTGGCCTCTGCAGCAGAGGGCTGGGCCAGGGGCTTTTCAAGGGGCTCCCCACACCCAGCTCCTCAGTTCTAGAGAGTTGGGGAGAGGCAGTTACCTTTCTGATGAAGACTCGGCGAACTTTCTGGTCATCCCAACTGAAGGTGGTGAAGAGCTCATGGTGTCCTGTGGAGAAACCACTCTCATAACTGGAGCTGCTGCCTGGGTGGGTATGGGGAAGGCCGTTAGAGCTGCAACACCTGTAAACGCTGCTCAGAGCTGCCTTTGTCAAACTGGCTCTCTGCACCAGCCGAAGCCTTTCCCTTCGGCCCCATTCTCAGCCCCACGCTCCATCTCTAGATCTCTCCCCGCAGTGCTGCTCATCTTGCCTGTTCTGAGTCCTGAGAGTGAACCGCCATCCCCCTTCCTCTTCCCTCCACCCTCGCTGGGGCTACCTGGGGACTACGCTCTGACACACAAATGCGACCCTTCCCTTCTGTGTCCCCCACCGCCTCCCTGCACCTTTGGTCTTCCTTGTGGCAAAGAATCAGAGAGGGACAGATGTAATTCCAGGACAACCTAGCACATCCCAGGGTCAAAGGTCCTGATCCCAGCTTGCTCTAAGGCCCTTGGGATGGAAACTGGGACGAGTTGGATGGGTGGACCTGCTGGTGCTCCAGCTGGGAACCAGGGCAGGGGGAAACTGGAGGGGAAATAAAGCCAGGGCAGGGCAAGAAGTGGGTTGTGGGTGGGAATGAAGTTTTAGGGGTTGGCCCCAGAGCTCAGGCTTTCAGAAGAGCATGGGCTCCAGAGTCAAACAGACCCATATTTGCCTCCTCCTCTGAGACCAACTGTGTGAATGTGAACAAATGACCAGCCCTCTCGGAGTCCTGTCTATGAAATGGGTCAGTGAACCCACCTCCTGGGGATGAAACGAGATAAAAGTGAAAGCCTGTGGTTCTCTGTGCCCGACAGTGACTATGTGCCCTCCCCCTTGTGCCCCTTGTCTGGGCCATTCCTGAGGCCTCACATGTATCCACTCTGCTCTCCTTCACTGTCTCCATCAGTTTTCCATGTACTTCTTCCCTCCACAGTAATAGCCTCAGTCTTGGTCTTTCAAAGCTGACCACGGCACTGCCCTGCTTCAGGCTCTTCCATAGCTCCCCACTGCTTTTCACTCAAGTTCAAGTTCTTTAAGAAAGCCTCCACAGCCTCTCATGAGCCCTCCAGCATCACTTCCCATTATCCCTTCCTACTTTCTTCAGCCATTTTTCTCGGCCACGTGTTCTCTTAATACTGGGCCTTTGTACAGTGCATTATTTCAGCCTCGAACACTCATTTCCCTACCTCTTTACCGGGATAACTCATGCCATCCTTCAGGACTCAAGGCAGATACCCTTTCCTCCAGGAAGTCTTCCCTGACTGTCAGGCAGGTTAGGTAAGTTGCCCAGGCCTTTATCACTACATCTGTTTCACTGTATGGAAGTTGTCTGTTTACTTGTCTATACAGTCAGCTCTGTGAGGGCAGGTCTTGCAAATAGATGCATCCTCAGAAATGAGCTCAGTGCCAAACACAGTGCCTGGGACACACTTAGTAAATGTTTGCCACATGTTGACCGAAATGACCTGACTTCCTGTCCTGACAGTTCCTCGGAAAACATTCTTTAAGGCAGCCAGTTCTGGCAACCAGGATATGGGCAAAGAGGGAGGGGAAAGAGGAGGACCTATTGTAAACCTGGGGCCTGGACACCCTCACTCTCTTATCCTTCACTTCTTGTTCATGTTCTTTCTGTCTGCATCCCCCCACCAAGGTCTGAACGGCCAGGCCATGGAGGGGGAGAAAAGAGGAGAGAAACCAGTCCTGTGGGCATCTGAGGCAACGAGAAGGGCTCCCACAAATACCAGACCTTCATTGGCCCTCCAGTTGTTCACGGTGGCATAGTTCGGCTTAGGTCTAGGACGAGAGGTTTTGTGGTGAGTAGTGTTGACCATGGTGACTACTCCTTGTGGGTAGAGTCTGGCTAAGGCATTGTCCCTGGGATCCCTTCTAGAATTCTGCTGTGGGTGGGGGTGGAGGTTGACAATGTGGGGGAGGGGCCTTGAGGGGCTGCTGAGGAAGCTGAAGGGGCTGAGGAAGATTTGAGAGGGGGCCCTTCTATACAGCTTGTGGGGAGCTATATGTTCCCAGCCCTGAGGCAAAGCTCCCACAAGCTGCTCAACTTAACACAGGGGCTCCTACTAGCTACATTTCTGGGTCTGCAAGGGACTGGCATCAGCCTGGGTGAGTCTGCCTATGAATGATGCCTAGTTGTGAAGGACACTGAAGCTGGCACCCCCATGCCTTCCCACATCATGCCCCCAACAAGGGCCTGGGGAAGGGAAGAGAGACAGGAGAGTGATGGGTGCAGTGGATCCTCAGGCCTCTGGCCCCCAACACTCCTGGGGCCTCCATGGTGATGTGTCCCCACTGAGGTTTCAAATCAAGTAAACACACTGCACCCCACTCACGCGGAGCCTGGCCAGCTGCAGCACAACAGCACCCCTTCCTGCATCCACTCTGTCCTCCCCCTCATTCCTTTTCTGCACCCCTTTCTTCTAGGAGAGTCTTTCTAGACTAGCCCCTGGTTTTCCTCCCTGGATCTGTCCCCTCTGCCCTAGCATGGTGAGTTGAAAAAGTCCCCTGGTCCCCATCCAAAAGCACTCTGCAGACATTGTGTTTCTCCCTTTTCATGGAGTCCTCCTTGACCTACCTTCCGAACAGTCCTCCAAATCTCAAACCTCTGACAACAGAGCCTCATACAACAACTATACAGTGCATCTATTTCTGGGCAACTTCCTTCTACCCAGTTTTCCATGCGAGCCCACCTCTCCCCTTGATCCCACAGCCTCCAGGAGCTGAGAGACTTACTAGGGTCCACATAGGCCCAGCTGGGGTGGAGAGGCACAGCTGAAGGGGCTTCGGGGAAGGCCCCTGCCTTCAGCCCCTCCCCAGAGGTGGCCTCCTCATAGGAAGGCGGGGCTGAGGGCACTGCTGGAGCCTCCTTCTCATCGTTGGCCTGCTGCTGCCCCTCGGTCCCAGGGGCCTTGTTAGCCACGGAGAGCTGTGGGGTAGAGGCAGAGAGAGGCAGTTACTAGGGAAAGGTGCCTTCCAAGCCCTCCTCACCAAGCCTTCTGTTCAATTTTGGAAGTTTTATAGGTACTTTGTCACCTGTACAAGGAAGGAGGGGGCGCAGACAAGAATCTCCCTATTTTTGTGGTTTATGTATGTAATGAAATATTATTCCACCTTAAAAAAAGAAGGAAATCCTTCCAGATGTGACCACATGGATGAACCTGGAAGACATTATGCCAAGTGAAATAAGCCAGTCACAGAAAGACAAATACTGCATGATCTCACTACATGTGGACTCTAAAAAGTCAAACTCATAGAAGCACAGAGAACAGTAGTTGCCAGAGGTTGGGAGATGGGGGAAATGGGGAGGTGTTGGTCAAGGGGTACAAAGTTTCAGTTTTGCAGGATGAAGAAGTTCTGAGGATCTAATGTACAGCATGGTGACTATAGTTAGCAATACTGTCTGGTGAACTTAAAATCTGCTGAGGGTAGATCTAAGTGTTCTTGCCACAAAAAAAGAGGGAACTATGTGGAGTGATGGATATGTTAAATAGCTTGATTGTGGTGATAATTTCACAATGTATATCAAAACATCAAGTTGTAAACCTTAAATATATACAATCTCTACTTGTCTCTTATACCCCAATAAAGCGGGGGGGGGGGAATCTCCCTATTTTATAGATGGGAGAACTGGGCTCCAGGAGGGCCAGGGCTGGCCAGGCACACACTGGAACTGGGATGAGAACTGAGAAAGGAGAAAATTCTTAGGGAACCCTGCTCATTGGTGGTGACTGTTCCCAGGGCAGAGATTGGGTTTGTATGGTTCCACTGTTTCTCTGGGGTCCAATGAGGGGTCTGGCACACAGTAAGCCCTCAAAAATATTATTGAATGAAAAGTTCTCTCATTTAATCTCCCTGCTACCTTGCTAGTTGTAGGTTGACCTCTGTTTTAAAATGAGGGAACTGAGGATCAGAGAGAAGAATGACCCGTCCAAGGTCACAGAGCCACATGTGGCCACTGGGCTGCAGAGCCCAGGCACCATCCACTGGGACTGGCCTCCTTTGGCTGGGCTGAAGACAACCAAGGACAGTGAGGATGGGAAAGCGGGGAAGTTGAAGGCGGGGGAGAACAGGGAGAAAAGAGGAAGGGGAATGGGGACTGCAGAGCGGAGGAAGGACAAGAGGCCCCACTGAGAGTTTTGTTCTGACCTTGTCTACTGGAATCTCAGACTAAATCAGAAGAGAATCACAGAATGTCACTACTGGAAGGATCTCGGAAGGCATCTAATTTAGCCCCTTCTTTCATTTTACAGATGAGGAAATAGGTCCAGGGAGAAGCGTGACTGTGGCAGGTTGAAAACTCAAGTCCATTTACATTCAGATGTGCCCCCTGTCCCACAATGTACGTATTTAGCTTTGGAGAAAGGATATGAGCTCTGGGGGCCTGAATGATGTTACAAGAGGAGGGCAGATTGAGGTGGAGGGGTGGTATGAAAACTGAAACAGTAACAAAAGGACTGAGCCTTAGAAAGTAGGACTTAGGTCTGACTCCAAAATGAATGTGTTAAACCTGAAGGGCTACTGAGGAAGGCCGCAGAGGCCCTTTTTGCAGGGTGCATCCAGCTGAGGCNTGAGGAAGGCCACAGAGGCCCTTTTTGCAGGGTGCATCCAGCTGAGGCAGCCCAGAGTAGGACAAGCACCAGATCTCTGCTCTCATTCAGCCCTGAAGACCATTGAACTGGAAGGGTCTATTCCATCACTAGAAAGCCTGTGAGTAAGCTGGGGGCGAGAGGCAGAGGAGGCAGGGGTAATACATTCAGCCCAGAACAGGAAGCAGGGTCAGCAAAGTGCCTGGTGGAGGTGGAGGTAGGAAGTGGACGGGGAGGATCAGGAGAGAAGGGAGCTTCAATTTTCACAAAGGTGAACACCTCCCTCCCCCACTCCAGGCTCCTTGGGGAAGGGCCTCCAAGCTTAGGCTTGTGGGAATGGGGCCTTGGCTCATCTGCTTCCTTCCCACTTCCCAACCTCCATGATCACCCAGACCACAAGGGTAATGCCCAGAACCAAGGGTCAGCCCCCGGAACAAGGTCCTCTGAGCCCAGACCCAGGGCTCATGCCTGGGAAAAGGATGATCACTTCTGATTTCAGCCCTGTCCAAGCTGGTCCCTTCACCAGCCCCCACCCTGATACTCAGTCACCTAGAGTCTCCTGGGCTTTGCCCCCCATACACACATACACACACACACCCCTGGCATTCCCAGTGAGGTCTGCCCAATGGCAGGAGGTGGTATCACCCAGTGACATCATTTTGAGGCCTGATGAGCTTAAAAACAGGGAGAGGAGGGTCTGAGAGCCCAGGCAAGGCTGCCATTGGCTCTGAGCTCATCTCAGAAAAAAGAAGGGGAGTGTAAGGGAGGTTCCTGTCTGTTTTCTCAGCTCAATCCTTAGCACCCCCAAACAGAAGGCCAGAGGACCCTCCCCCTTCACCCCAGGCCCTGGTGGTTGTATAATTCCACAGGCTGTTGATGTTACATAACCCTACTAGGCCAGCCAACTCTCTGCCCCAACCCTTCCCCTACATTTTAGGCCTAGAACTGGAAAAAAAGAGAAGACATTTTATCTCGTCCCATCCAGTCCTTGACTGGCCAAAACCAAAACAAAAATTAGAGCATCCTGATGCAGAGTTGCCATAGTAACCCCTTAACCCAGGTGATGTATCCAGATGTGGAATAATAACAGGGAGTTGGGTGGGGGGTGTTTCTGTGGAGGGCACGAAAGATGAGCTAACGTTAGGGTTGGAATTGGACCAGAAGGGGATGCTGGATAAGAAGTGCCCCTCAGGGCTCACCCTGGCGAACACACATACTCACACATGCATACACACACGGACACCCAGGCTGACTCTTCAAGGGGGGCTGGGCGTCTGTGCAGGGCGCTGGGATGTGAAAGCAAGGGGTGGAAGGGAGACAGGGGAGGAGAGGTGAGCCTGGTGGGCAGGAAGAGGCCCGGACCCTTTCCATGAAATGGGTCTTTTGGTTCTCTGACTTCAGCAAGGACCACAGAGTACCTTTCCACCAGGGCCAGGGGAGGATGCTTATAATGGTTCAGAGAGCTTGCCGAGGATGACAGGGAGCCGGGAAGCCCGAGGATGGAGGATGGTGCAGGCGGGGGAGATGCCGGTACCTTTCCCTGGGTCATGGTGCCGTCTCTTGGGGAAGGGGTCCCGGCAGCCTGCCTGCGTCTCTTCCTTTCTCCGCGTGGGTTCTAGCAACATCCACTGCAGCTGGGCCAGGCGGACCGGAACGTACCATCCGGGCGCGGGGGGAGGAGGGGACGGGG